TAAAATTAGATTTCAATAAATGAAAACGCACCCTATTCTCGGATTAGAAGAGACCTGTTGTAAAGATTCCACTTCCTCCTAAATTGATCTATATTAGTGTGGTCCAAAAGTCCCGACAGCTAGCGTCCAGGCATATGACCTAGACTCTGCCAACCAGGTGATCCCACATGAGACCTGGATTAGGAGAGGGTAATGGGAATGCAGGTGCCGCACGTGATCTGAGTTGATGGCGGAGGTGGTGGAGACATCAGGCTTGTGGGTGAGAGAAGCAGGGGGTGGGGGCTCCTGATGACCACCCTCGCCCCCAAGTGCCATCAGGGAGGGCTTCAGATTTGTGCCCAGAGGTGGCAGCAGCAACGGTGTCTTCCCCAGAACAGTCCTCCAGGGAGGCCAGCTTCCTGGCTGCACAGCCACCAGGTCTGATTCTCTGGCCTCCCTGGAGAGTCCCCCAGGAGATTTTAATAAATCCCTTTTCTGCTCCAGTTGGCAGAGTAGGTTTCTTTGTTTGCAATTTCAAATCCTGAACGGTACACAGACTAAATGAATAGAATAGAAGGTCCAGAAATAGACATATATATCTGGAGGGAATATCAGTAATGATAGCATTTATTGAGAACCTACTCTGTGCCAGGCACTGTTCTACATACTCATAATTATCTCATTAGCCCTTTCAACAACCCTAAATTATTATTTTCATTTACAAATCTGGTAACCAAGATACAGAGAAGTTCCTGCAACTCATATACTATAGTAAAGTTGACATTTTAGTTCATTAGAAGAAGCATCGCTCAATAAATAATTTGAGGCTAACCAGCTGGAAAACTAATGTGGATCTCTATCTCACTCCTTACACTAAAATTAACTCCACATTGATCAAATAGGAAAGAAAAAAAATTAAGCGATAAAATAAGTAAAGGAAAATATAAGAGTACCTTTCATAACATTAAAGAAGGCCTTTCTAAGACACAAAATTCAGAAGCCATTAAAACACTGATAACATTAGTCACATTAGCATGAAACAATTCTTCCTGGTAAGGAAGAGAAGTGGAGACAAACCCAGATTACAAGAATAGCAGGCCATCTGACAATGGGCTAATATATGTAAAGAGATATTGTAAATCAATAAGAAAAACAACAACAATTCAATGTAAAGAAAGGGCAAGGGCATTTCAGAGAAAAAAATTCATATATAAATGACTTATAATCCCTCATACTTTTAAATATGAAAAGTAAAATAATAATGTGGTATAATGTTTCACCTATTAAATAGAAAATGGAAAAACTCAATAATGTGTGTCGTTGAAGAAGTCGTGTGGAAATAGGTGTGTGTCCCACTGTTATGGAGTAATTGTCATGTGAGGAAAATTTTCCAATAAATATTTTAAAAATTACGTATATTTTGAACCTGCAAATCTACTTGTAGAACTGTATCCTGTAGACACACTCATGCATGGACATAAATACATATATAACTAAAGTCTGTGGTAAAGTTGTTTGTAACAGCAAAAGCCTGAAAACAACCGAAATGTCCATCGCTAGGGAACTTGGTTCAACAACTCATGATATGCAATAATGATAAGGAATGAGGTGGAGGCATTATTTTTAAGATAAAATTCTTTTTTCTTTTTTTACAAAATCAAGGTGCACAGCGCTGTGTCAACTAGACGCCATCCACTAGAAATTTCTGTGCTGTTGGAAATGTTCTACATCTGCACTGTCCAGTAGGGTAGCCACGAGCCACATTCAGCTAGCGATGCTGGACGTGCGGCCAGTGTGATTGTGGAACTGAATATGTAATTTTAATTTTAACTTATATCGATCTAAATTTAAATAGTCACATGTGGCTCTGGTGCTCGATAATGCAGGCTGGAAGCACATCTGTGCATGTGAACAAAAGTAGCATTTCTGAAAAACTATAGAAGTGGTAACAGTCATTGCCCCTGCCAAGGAGAACAGGGGTGTCAGATATTTCTGAGAAGAAGAGTTCTTTGTCTATTTGTATCTGTAATATCTGAATGGTTTACCATGTGTGCAGTGACCCATTTCATATTGAACTAATTCATCAAAGTCCGAAATGAAAAGTTAGGAAGTTCTTGAGTGAGCTTGGGTTTTTTCCATGCAACAGCAGTCAGAGTGGTGTGGGAGAGTGCAGGGAGGGTTCGTGGGCAATCCAGGTCCTGAAGTGAGTCAGTTGTTAGGGTCAGAGGTTGAGAAAAGGGGCCGACTAACCCCAAATGAAGGAATCCTGAGCCGTGGGGAGCATCTTGCTGCCTTGGAAGCCAGCATCCATGAGGAATGGAAGCCATGCAGAGGAATGATTGTTGCCAGCAGCCCACATGTAGACACTTGAGTCAAACAATTAAATTATTCCCAAGAGACATGTAAACAGAAGAGTTGAAGAGGAAGGGATAGATTGGATTTGCAGAGACAAAAAAGGCAGAATCAACAGAATCTGGCAGCCAGTCTGATGTGGGCACTGAGAGACAGACACAAGCTTAGGCTAGCTCTTGACTCTTGGCTTGTATGACTGAATTGATATTGTGGCCATTGGGGAAATAAGGTTTCCAGGAGGAGCAGGATTGGGAGGAAGAGATCATACCTTCAGTGTTGGCATGTTGATCCAGCTGGAAATTTCTAGAAGCCTTCAGATATTTAGGTCTGAAGTTCAGCAGGGAGAACTGCGCTAGAGAGAGCCATTGGGCAGATAACCAGATGTGAGTGATCATTGAGGCCAAGAGAACTGTCAGACTCACCCAGAGAGGAGGTGTGCCAGGGGCAGAGCCGGTGAGAGTGTTAAGCTAATGCAAAAGGCTCGGGAAGGGGAACCAGCAAAAGACACTGAGGATGAGCACGGAGGGAGGGAGGCAGGAGGGAGAACTGGGGAGAAGGGCCAGGGAGGAGGTGGTCTCAAGAAACAGGAAATGCTGTGCAAGGTCAGATGCCATAGAGGGGTCAGGCAAGATGGGGCACTGAAAAGCCCATGGCACTTGGCAATTAGGAGGTCATGTGGTGACGTCAGTGGGAGCAATTTCAGGGGAGTACAGAGAGGGAACACATGATTTCAGCGGTTGAAGGGTTAATGGGAGATGAGAGAGTGGAGATCATGAGGGAAGGCTCTTGTTATGTCTGGACACTAGGCTGTGAAAGGAAGGAGACAAAAGGAGCAGTGTCTAGAGGGCAGGCTGAGGAGAGGGCTGTTTTTTTTTATGTTTGTTTGTTGCTTTAAGAGCAGGGAGACGGGGTAGGATTACAGACAGTGGCGAAGGACTTCTCAAGAAACCAGGCATAATTAACAAAGCAAGGTCCCTGAGGAGGCAGGGAAAGGTGGGCTCCGTGATGCACAGGAGGTTAAGACCTGATCAGGAGACCTCCTCTGAGAAGGGCAGGAAGGGGGTCCGACACAGAAACGAGAAGGAGGGTGGGAGGCCGGAAGCCGAGCAAATATTTTTGCGTGGTGGCTTCCACGTCCTCAGTGACATCGGAGGTGTGATGACGGAGATAGGAGAGGGCAAAGCGTGGTCGTAAGTAGGGTATGGAGGGGTTGAGTTGAGTAAAGATGGCTGGCTCTGCAGAGGGTTCAGCTGAGACTGGACCATGAACATGGAGGGGTCCAGAGGCTCAGGTGAACGTCTAGAGCACTCCATCAGTTCACAGCAGCCTAAGGACTTCTGCAGACCCTGTCACATCTGGCAGGAGGAGGCCACCCGTGGGGGAAGGAGCAGGGGAGAGTGTTGTTCTATGGTGGGGGTCTGGAGCGCACTCTCTACAGTGCAACTCTGAGCCCCATCAGGCAAATAGGATTAATGTTTTCCACCTTGTAGATAAAGCAATTAGCCTAGAACTTGACACCCAGAACTCTCATTAAAGATCGGCTATATCACAATGAATAGTATGGGGGTAAAGATACCAAGGGGCCCGAAGAGAAGGGTGGAAGCAATATTCCAAGGAGTCTAGGTGAGACAGCCCAGTGAAGGCAAGGCTCAGAAAACCATGTCCTGAGGCCAAACCCAACCCACTGCCTGCTTGGTAAATAAAGTTTTATTAGACACAACCATGTCCATTCTTTATGCAGCGTCTCTGGCTGCTTGTGTTACAAGGGCAGAGTTGAGTAGTTACAACAGAGACTGCATAGCCCACAAGCCTAAAATACTATCTGACCCTTTAAGAAAGAATTTGCAACCCTGGGCTAGAGGATAGGAGGGCTGGAGAGAGTCAAGCTAACTAACTAGTATAAAATAAAAGCAGGAGTAGAGGGCGAAAAGATCTGGAGAGATGGGAGGTTGAAGTCAGAGAATAAGACTAGGGATGAGGGATCCGGATGTGGAGCCTGCCCTGCAGTGGGCAAGGAGGAGTGGGTGCCTATGGCCGAGGCTGGATGAGGGCTTTGGAACTCAGGAGATTGACCTGGGAAGTATCAGGCTCTCATGATAAATTGAGAATCAATGGCTTGGTGGGTCATTAGATAGAATTACCCATGTGGATGCGGGTAAGATGAAGAACATCAAGGCTTTCAGTCACAAAACACGGTGCCCAGGAAGTCACCAGAAAACGCCTCCCCAAAAGCCATTTTCCACTTCTTTGCTATCAGAACTTCGATCTTGTTCAGAATGACAGTGTGCCCTACCCCTAGAGATGAATCATGGTTTGTCTGGACCAATCAAGTAATGATATTCCCTTCTGGCTGATGTTTACTTTCCCAGACTACCTTGCAACTAGAAGTGGTCACATGATGCGTTCCAGCCAATGGGACATCTCAGAAAATCAGCTTGGGGCTTCTGGGAAAGCTTTCTTTTTTTTTTGCGGTACGCGGACCTCTCACTATTGTGGCCTCTCCCGTTGCGGAGCACAGGCTCCGGACGTGCAGGCTCAGCGGCCACGGCTCACGGGCCCAGCAGCTCCACGGCATGTGGGATCTTCCCGGACCGGGGCACGAACCCGTGTCCCCTGCATCGGCAGGCGGACTCTCAACCACTGCACCACCAGGGAAGCCCAAGCTTTCATTTTTTGACGACAGAGAGATTTGCCAGTGCTGCCCTGCTCCCTTTTTTGCCTTGAGCGCAGAGCTGATGCTCGGGGCTGTGGCAGCAATTTTGCGACCATGAGGCAATAAATATGAGGGCATACATGCAGCATGCTGAGGATGTTGGAGCAGAAAGAGAGCCTGGCCCTTGACTCCATCATTAAACCCCTGCCCACCTCTAGACTTTTTGAGTGAGATGAGGGAATGACTTTATTGCTGAAAAAGAAAATGTTTTCTTTTTTAATTAAAAGAAGGAAGTTCAGAGGTAGTAGCTGGGAGCTGGAAGAATGGCATGTGGGGTTGGAGGGAGAGGAAGCAGGCAGGGGGCTGCTTTGAGCAGAGAATGTGTGAGTACAGATGGGATTGGGAAATGGGTGGTGAAGAACAGACAGGAAGAGGCTTTGGACGTTGGGTTGAGGAGTTTTGGTTTCTTCTGCAGACCACGGGAAAAGATCACTAAAATTTCTTTAAAATCATATAGATCATAAGCTTGATGTAATTGATATTTGCCAAACTTTGTGCCTTCTTCAAATGTCCTTGAGACATTTACTTTTCTGCCTTTTCTTGAAAAGAAAAAAATGGCAATGGATTTGCATTATTGTAACAGTTTTTTTTTTCTAATTATAAAAGCGAAATCTATTTAGACACTTTACAAAGCAGATAAGAAAATAGAAGAAAACATTTTGGGTGTTTGATCTGAGGGTGGATGGAGATTGAGACAGGAAACAAGAAGATTCATTGTAACTCACCTTCCCTGGGCCTCAGTTTTCCCACCTGGAAAATGAGCAGATAGGCCTGCAGCTAGGGAAGTCTCCACCCAGCCTGATAGCCCAGGGATGCTCGATGCTGTAGCGTGTTAACACACACACTACAGATGCCCTGGGTCATGGTGAGAGCCATGGTTAATACCCAGGAAGCTTGTCCATCCATCTTCTATGGGTTCACACACAGTGGCCATTTAACCCTCACTTTACAGATATAAACTGTGGGCTTGGAGGAGATAAAGTGATGACCACAGCCCTAGAGCTGTCCCATCTCAGAGGTCAGAATCACGTCCAGTGCTCACTTCTACTCCCCAGAACCGACACCCTCTCTCCCGGACCTGGACCTCACTTCCTTCAATCGCTCAGCAGTCCATTCCCCACAAGCTCGGGAAAGGCAGTGGACTGGGATGAGGGCGGGTCCGGAGGGCTGGCACCTCACACAGCAGGACCAGCTCAGAGAACACCAAGGTTCCTCCACCTCGTGGTGGCAAGGTGATGACCACCTGGTTCTGCTGCGTGTGTGTCTGATGACTGAAACGGCCAACTTTGTCCATCAGGGTACCGCCGGGGACCAAAGAATACAGGGAATAGCTTCGAGTTTATGTGTCTGGTGTTAAAAATCAATAATTTCCCTCCTCGGGAGGCACACTCAGGGGCAAAATAGAGCGAATCGCTTGCTAGCTTCTGCGTGCGCACGGGCAGATGCTGAAGCAGCCGAGGAACCAGTCATGCATCGTAATAAAGTACCCTTCACCTGCTGTCTCTGCATCAGCGAGCGTGCACCCCACCCCACATCGACCAGGAGCCATTAACCCCCACAGTGCTGGGCCGTCACTCACCCCTAATCCCCAGGAGCAGCTTTGGCATGGAGGCTGCCGGGGGCTTTCCAGGAGGAAGGAATTCAGAAATATAAGCGTGAGCCTCCCAACGTCCTCCGAAGGTGGATAAGTTTAGAAGCTCTGTCTGGCTTTCGAGGGAGGCGGGGTGTCAGTGGGCTAATGCCAAGTAAACAAGCTGCTGCCGTTTACCCCCCACTGTCACCCTCCCCTGGGCGCCGTGTCCTGGCTCATCCATTCTAGGGCACTTTGCTCCCCCGTAAAACATTCCATCCCTATCCATAGAACAAGAGCATGTCTGAAGAAGAAGAAATCTGTGGCAGCGACAAAACTGCTTGGGGGTTCGGCACTCACCGCTGGAACCGTCCTCAGTATTTGCCACATGCTGGCCCCTTGCAGGCTTACAGTAACCTCGAGGGAGACGTGCTGTTATTACACCACTATAAAGGTAAGGAAACTGAGGTCCAGGAGGGAGAAGGAGGAGGTCAAGCAATTTGCATGTCTCACATGTGGTGACGCTGGGATTGGAACTCAGGCCTCAGCTCAGACCCTGAGCTCTTGACTACTCTATTGTTTCACCCATCCCTGTGGTCCCTCCACCTTTGCCTCATTTTACAGTTGAGGAAACTGAGACCTAAGAATCAGCAGAGACTGGTCCAAGGTTCCATAGCCAGGCAGCCCGGGATGAGGCCCAGATCACAGGCTCCCATCTGAGGCTCTTCCATGGCTCCATGATGCCGCTTGCTTTCCTCTAGGTTCTTGCCTTAGAGCAGCAAAACCAGGCAGATTTGGAGTTAAAATCCAGGCCTTCTCAGAGCCCCAGGGCCTCCAAACTTCCATCAGTCTCAGAGGAGCTGGCATCCTTGGACCTCCAGCTTCACAAAATATTAGTAACAAGTGTGCACGCACTTCACCGTTTACAAAGCTCTCTAATCACCATATACCACTTAATCCTCATGAAAAAACACTGTAAAAGAAGTCTGACCATGGTCTTCACTTCACAGACAAGGAAACAGAGATCTTCTCTGTGGGACAAGGACTGGCGTATCCCCAGCATGGCCCAAAGGTGGGCCATGTGCCACCCCATGGACCTTCTGCCAGCAACTCTGTCCCTAATCAGCCTTGAGAAATTGCCATCATTCTTCCTTACAACTTTATGAGGCCTTCTTATAGCTCAGACGTCCCCTGGCCTCAAGCAAGAGGATGAGGAGACCCAAGTCATTGTCTAAACCAGCAGAGCTTGCTCTTGGCACCCTCTGCTCACCCTTCCTGAATCCTGGGAGTCCTTGGATAGCTCCCTGAGCTCAGAGATCAGGTTTCGTACTTACCTGTATCCCCAGAGCATTTATCATAGGGCTTGCTAGTTAACATAAACAGAGAGAAAGGGATGGAGGAAAGGAGGAAAAGTCCTTTCATACAACATTCACTGATTCAGACCAGCCACCCCAAGATGGTATACATGGGTGGAATTTTTATTTATAATTATAATGTCACTAAGCAGCTGTGTGACCTTCTGCAGGTATATTAACCTCTCTGGGCCCCAACACCTCCATCCACAAAGGAAAGTAGGAAGATGGGGTCTCAGATGGAGGCTATGTGGCATGTGCTTCCACCTCCCCCTACAAGACCACAGATATCCCAAATCAATGCCAGCATGTTTCCCATGTGTTAAGGGGTGGGGATGGGGATGACGTTTCTTAGGAATCTGAACTAGACAAATGTACTTTTTCTTTTTGGTTCCCAGCCTCCAAACCCAATTTCTATTTGAGAGAGGCCCAAAGTATGTGGGGTGCAGGGGTTCAAAATCCCTCATATTGTCCAGGAAGTGGACATTTCTTTTCTCAGCTTCCAGGACAGGAGAATGGGGTTTAGAATTGGCCAACAGGATGGTCCCACTCAGGACTCTGAGTATAAAGCAGGTGACACAAAGACACAGGCATAGTTAAAGGTTTCTCAAGGGATGGCATGGTGACAGCAGTGGCCAGGCCAGGGGCGGCATTCCAAACACCCTTCCTGCTGTGTGAGCTGACTGTGCTTTGGGCCACCAGCTTGGCTCCCATCTATTTTGCAACAATCAAGGGGAGGCCGTGTGGTCCAGTGGTTAAGGCTATATCTTTGAAGTCAGGTAGATATAGGTCTGAATTCTGTTTGTGCCATTTATGAGCAACATAGCTGTAGGTAAGTAATGTACCCTCAGGGAAAACTATTCTCTCTTCCATAAGGCAGACACAATAGTAAGTACTTCATAAGGGTTGTTGTAGGGCTCACATAAGGGAATGTGAGTGGTGTTCCTAGCCCGGCGCCTCAGCGGGGCTGAATAAGTAGAGGCTACATTAACAATGAATGAGGAAGAGGAGAATTTTGAGGACCAGTTTCCAAAATGGGGGACTGAAGCCAGGGCAGGTGCACCTAGCTGTGAGCAGCCTGAACAGCTGTCCTGATGCAGAGCAGCTGGGGAGGGCCCATCACGATGGGTGCTCCAGGCAGGGAACTGGCCTTCTCGGGGAGAACCGACCTTTCTCTCTGATGCTACTTAAACCTGAATCATCGAGTGCTTTGCCCTTGGAGGAAGCTCAGAGGTGCAATAGGCTGGTGCCTACATGAGCACAGAGGCGACCCCTCTGTGAGTTAGAGGACCAGCCTCCGCTAATGCCAATTCCCCCAGATGGAGCACAGGGCCGGCTCCTGATCCCAGGGTGTGTCAGCCTGGGCAAGCAGGCGTGCCAAGAGCCTGCTTTTCCGAGGTGTGTGCCAGCGTCGGGGGCCAGATGCTCCCTCCCAGACCTTCCATCAGCAACGGCATCTGCTCTTCTCCCAGGCTGGTCCAGCTGCCACCCAGGTGGGAGGCTCATTTTTCAACCCAGACCCTTCTTTCTGCCACCACGCCCACCCCGGGCATTCCCTTGGAGTCCCAGATCGCTGTCCTTCCTTGGGTCAGTGTGGCCTCTAGCTGCAATGTCCACTTTCTGCCTGTCTCTGTTTCCGACTGTGATTTAATTGGGAGCCTGGAAAACCCTGATTGTTCAATAATTGTAAGGCAGAGAAATTACCGGGGCATCAAAGGTTGCTCCAGTTGCTATATTAATTGTCCTTTGTTATCTCTCCATATAAAAGACCACTTGATAGAGACAAAAGCCAGGTGGCTTTAATTCCACAGCCTTCTGACAAGAGGATGAGAGGCCATTGTTGGCTCCCATCCGTTTCTTCCCAGATAGAAACCTTTGCTACTCCCTGCCCAGCATGGCCCCAGCAGGCCATACCCCGACCCGAGACCAAGAGCGAGGCCCAGCACCCTCCAGCCACAACCGGGCCCAGACCCTGGTTGTCTCCTGGCCCACTGGCTCACAGAGGCGAAAAGCCCCGATTCTTCGCTGCGTGTTTCGGTGTGCTTTTTCTCGAGTGCTGGTGTGTAAGTGCACGTGGGGACACTGCAGGATGAATAGCTAGCGTTTACTGAGGACTTCCTACCTGCCAGGTGCCACGCTGACCGCTTTACATGCCTTTCTTGACAACAGGAGTTACGCATGTTATTTTTCTCTTCATTTTGCAGACGGGGCTCAAAGGGGTTAAGTTACTTGCCCAGGGCCCCATAGCAATGGCGTGCTAGAACCAGGATCAAACTCCAGGTGCTCGAATGGAGCCCTCAGTCCCTCTGCAGCGCTGTTCTCTGAGTACACTTGCGGGGTGTGTGTGGGTGCGTGTGAGTGAGGGTGCGAGAATGTGTATGAGTGTCTATGAACGTGTTAGGGGGTGCAAGTAAAGGACAGTATCTAAGCAGTGGGTCCAGTAGAAGAGGACCAAGCAAAAGGCATGAATGAGGAGATTGTCAAAGCAATTTGGCACGTTTGATTTGTTTATTTTTAAAGGCCCAGCCACGCCTTGCTTAAAACCATTGGAATCTAGCAGTAAACAGACTCGTGTTTGAATGTTGAGCATCTACTTGTGCTGGGCCCCGTGCCCTCAGCTGTAAGTGGCCTGGAGAGGAGTCAACCACGTGTCTGCCCCCTGGGCTCCCTGCCCGGTTCCCAGCCACAGATATAGGGATGGGCTTCCACTGCCTCTGCTTCTGCTGGGAGGACCTGGGAAGGCTGTCTGGAGTTGCCTTAAAGCCATTCATTTTTTCAAGCCATTTGCCAGTTACCTGAAACATCACCTGGCCGACCAAGATCTAGACTTATTCAACAATTGATTATCCTTGGAACCAACAAGGCTGTGTATCACTAATTCACAATTTGGCTGTGGTTCTGCAACTGCAGCTACGTTCGTGAATAAAAAGAATGGGGTGTAGAGCTCTGTCATGGCCAGGCCTGATGGGGCATTAGCTTTGATTTCACGACAGCCCTCCCGAAAGAGATCCCGATCCTGTGTGACAGACTGGAACACTGTAGCCCAGGAGGTTAACGTGATTTTCCCCGATCATACAGCTCATAAAAGGCAAACCATGGCAGGAGGCAGACTACCATCCAACGGCGACTCTGTACCATTATAAGTTGCTCCATCTTTACCAACAACCCATAGATTATTTACAAGTCGTGGGTTTCAAATAAGAAAACCCGGAGGAAGTAAACACCAGTGCCTGGAGCCAGGTTCAGTCCAGACTCTCTGGATAGTTACCAGGCCCTCTTACCAGCCCCTGACCAGGGCACAGACCATGGGAGATAAAGCTGAGGGCAGTAGCTCACTGGCAGCTATTCCAAATCTATAGGTAACTCTGCAGTTTACAGCTAAGCCAGGAGTAGCCTGGGTCCTATTTCCATCTCCCCAGGTCCGTCCTAAACCAACCAGTGGCCAAAGATGATCAGGATGTCTCAGGAGCGTAGGAATGATGTAGAAAATAAGGGATAGGGCATCTAAGCCTTCAGGGGTAAATGCCTTTCTAAACTTAGGGCTAGAAATGGTCTCCCCTGTTGAGCTGGGTGATTCCTACCACTAGGTAACCTGTTCTGCTTTCATCCTGGTTTCCTGGAAACTGAAAAAGAAGAGTTACCTTCAGTTGTTACAATTCATCTCAGCACATAATTCATGATCTAGTTTTATTCTTCTACTGTCTCCTCATTCATTATTCCACCCTATGGAGGAGATATTATTATGCCCATTTTACAGATGAGAAAACTGAGGCTTCAAGAAGTGAAATGATAATGCCCTGGTTGTATCTGACCCAGTCTCTCTGGTCATCAAGCCCTCCTAGGATTTTCCTTCCCACTGGAATCAAATCTGACCTCTCATCCTAGTCTGTGATTGGCAGCCCCCAAGTTCTCCACACCATCTCCCATCTTGTTTGCCCCTCTCACTCACCATGCTTCAGCCACACCAGCCCTATTCTGATCCTGAACCTACCAGACTTATCCTCAGCCCCGGCCTCTGCACCGCTCCTTCCTCCTCTGGAAACGCTCTCCCTCTGGAGCTTTGCATGGCTGGCTCTTATTCATCATCCAAGTCTCAGCTTAAATGTCACTTCCTCGAAGAAGTTCTTGACCACGCTACCTACACCGGCCTCTGGTCGCTCCCTGTCATATTCTTATCCTAGCTTTGCTCTCTCCTGTCCAGTAATAAACACCTCCTGTTTATTTGTGCAATGGGGTGTACCCACCACTAGAGTATAAGCTCCATGAGGGCAGACGGGGTGAGGCACCTAATAGGAACTCAACCAAGTTTTGGTGAGTGAATTAATCAATGAATGAATAACTCACTGGGATTCAAATCCCCTGCATGGAACTCTCTACCCCTCAGCCAATATGACGCCAAGGCAGGGAATATGCTTCTTCTAATTTCACAAGGAACGTGCAGGGGTCTGTGTCCAAACCTCCCAGCTCTGAACCAGGCAGCAGATAATAAGGGGGACCGGGATGTCTTCTGGGGGTCCCAGGACAGCTCCCAGCATCGGGTTTGGGCATGTCCAGCTACGAGGAAGCAGCACTCTGCCAGGAGAACTGGCCCGGCCCAGTCCAGCAGGCACTGGTATGGCTGGAGGTCCCCAGTGAAGGCTTGGTTAGCAGGCCTAGTGAGCTGCAGTGATGGTTGCATCAAAAAATGCAGGAAGGACCCGCACCCTTAGCAACTCCCAAAACACCAAGGAAGGGAAGTTTGCAGGACTCTGAAGTTCCCGCAGCAGCAGATGGACTCAGCATGTGAGACACAGGTGCTCACACCTGTACGAGAGCCCGCACGGGAAGACCAGGCCTCTCGGGGTCAGGCCTGACTCTGAGGCCCCAGCCAGCCCTGGGGGCATGTTCCCTTAGACACTTAATACGTGAGGTCACCAAAAGCTGTCAGGGCTGAGACAGGAGTTCTGAAGCCAAAAGTAGCCCAACCGGAGTGCAGAGGGCACCAGAGCCTGAGAGGGGAACTCGGGCCAGGCCAGAGCCCCATGCCTGGTCCATGTCAGAGGAAATAGCCAATCAAGGTGAGAGCCAACCAAGGAGTCAGGGTCATGGGCAAATCGACGTGCAGTCAGGGAAGGAGCCCCAAGGCTCAAGGGCGGGCCAAGGCTGCCAGGTGGTTTGGGCTATTACCTGGTGAAGGTGGTCAGAGCCTCCTCGGAAGGTCCAGCCTCCAGGGGTCGCGGCCTCCACCAGGCCTCTGAGGTGGGCATCTGACAGGCCGATGCGGGGAGCAGGCGTGGGCGGAAGTCCGTTTGAACTCCCTCAGCCCTGTATCTGAGGAGGGAATTAAACCGTTCTGTTCTACTATGGCGTTTCATTGACTTCTGGCAAAACACGATGTCCTGCTTCAAAGGAAAGGAAACACACAGGCTTAGGAGGCTCGTTGGACATCAAAGGGCTATTAGAGAACAGCATCCTGATGAGCTAATTGCAAATGCAGCCCGAGCAGACGGAGCACATTTGCCCAGGAACATATGGGCTCACACATCCAGGGAGAGGGTGCTGGGGACAAGATGTATGTGGGGCTTTGCTGAACCCAACGTGTTTGCAAAATAATTCAAGACATTGCCTCAGCCTGGGCTGTTCTCCCCTCTGCATTCCATCAAGCCGGGTGGGGGTGGGGAGAAGGAAGCTTGGTGCCTCTGCAAAAGGAGGCCCCAGGGAGCAAGTAAGCAGGACTGGGCCCAAACAAACCGAAACATTCCCTGCAGAGTCAGGGAGACACGTGGGTGGAGAGAGCCTTCTCTTGACTCCCAGACGCCCCTCCAGACTGTGTGCCCCAGACCAAGTGCAGAGGGCCAGGGGCGGCAGTGGGTTATTCTCCTCCTGGACCTCCCCAGCCTCACCCATCCAGTCGGGGTACGGAGCCCCAGCACTTTCAGCCCTGAAAAGGTTGCAGGAGTCTCCTTCAGCTCCATCATTACAACATGTCTGGAGACCACACGGTCCGGGTCGTCTACCCCAGGGCTCCCCGGGGTCAGACCAGTTGTGTGGGCAGGGCCCCAGACCCTCAGCCATCACAAAAAGCTGAGTGACTTTGCTTCCATCTGGTTTATATCAATACATCAGGATAGGACATAAGATTTTCCTCAAAGAAAAGGGAGTTCCAGATTATTAATAAAAACTACTTCTCTGGAACAACTATTTCATCTTACCAGTTGAGGAGACTGTGGCTGAGGGGGCCATGACTACCCAGGGCACACAGTGAATCAAGGATGAGACTAAAGCTAGAACCCAGGACCCTGGCTCCAGGCCAATTTTCTGGCCACCCCGCCAGGTGGCCCACACCCTGTCAGGTTCAATTCTAGACAAGTGTCCAGGCCCCAGCCAGGCCCCAGCCTCCCCGGGCCCCCTGAACACATAAGCTCTCCTCAGCCCTCGGGGTGGGGGGAGCATTCCTCAGCAGGATCTGTGCCTCAGCAATCAGGAGGACACCTCAGTGTCACCCTCCCACCCTCCAGGCTGAGCCGATAAAAGGTAGAAGCAGCCGGGAGGCCAGAGGGAACTTCCAAAGTAGAAGGCAGGGAGACAAGGGGGAGAAGCCAGCGTGTGAAACTGACATTGACTCTGCTGCGTCTTCTAAGACAACGAGCTGGGGGCCAGCAGTGGGGAGGGAGAAGATTGGAGAGATTGTATGGGGCCTTGGAGGTGGCCTGTTCATTGTACAGTTGTGAAATCCAAGACTCAGAGGCCGGGAGGGGGAGGTTGGGGGCTGGGGGGTGGGAGGCCTGCCCAGCATTCCCAGCAAGGTCGTAGCTGAGTCCTGCCCTGGGTAAAGCAGTACAAAGGCATTGGGCACCTGGAAGAAAATCTAAACCCGTATGCAAGGCTGAGTCTACCCAGCCTGGGTTTCCAGCCTCCTCTGCTCCCCCTCCCTCCTCACTCCGAGCTCTTAGTCACAGCACCCTCGCCTCTTTCTTCACTGCTCTTATTATAGTCGTAAGCGATGAACGAGTTTGGGTGATTCTTGTATTAATTTTCGTCTCCCCCTGCCCCAGACGAAAAACTCCATGAAGGCAGGAGTTGGTATGCTTTGCTCACATCTGAGTCCTCAGTGCTCAAAATATATTTGATGAATGAATGAATGAATATATCATGGCTCTTTCTGACTTCAAAACCTGCCATGGCTCCTCCCCACCCCTATGATTTCACTGGTAATCCCTTTACCCAGTACTGAGGTCATTTATGATCTGATCCAAGTTCCTTTCTGGTCTCATCTCCCACCATGATTCTCTTCATACATATCTCCACCCCACACAATACAACGGCTCTGGACAAACCCCACTACTACTCCAGAAGACCCTGCCTTCACGTGCCTTGATAGCTTCAGGCCTAAAATACTCCTCCTACTTGTCTTTATCTAGATGACAGGATCCTACTGATTCTTATATACCCAGCTCAAACGTCCCCTCCTTTCTCCATGGTGAGCCATCTCCGTCCAGGCCCTAGGCAGCATAGGTGGCTCCCTCCTTGGTAGGCAGCCCTTGAATATGGTGCAACAACCAGGATACTACACAGGCATATAAGATAAGGATTGGTTTCCATCCGATTCTACCATAAAAGACTAGGCCTACCATAGGACAGGAAGTATGGCTTACCTACCTCTGTGTCCCAACACCTGGAGTTTAACCAATTGGAGGGCACAGGGCCCTTGACCCCTAACCCAGTTGGTGCTCTTTCCACCACACATAGATCAACTTCACATCATTCCATTCCGTTTCAATATCCTCCCCCCCTTCTCTTTCTCTCTCTCTCTCGTTCTCAAAACCCACATCATCTGGAACCTTCTCTTGGCTTCCCTCTTGCCTACCATCCTTCCGGTCATTGCTATTCCTCAGCAAGGAGGGTCCAGGAGGGAAGCTCAGGTGACGCCCAGAGTAGCAGGCTGGTACCTTTGGATTCAGGCTGGTTCTCAGACCCTCCAATGCCCGGTGGCCTCACCTAGAGAAGAGGCCTCAAGTAGTCTAGACCAGTACCTGAAAATTTTAAAAGCATCACACAACTCTATTTGTCCTGTGCAATGCTTTTTAATATCCGTACATTTTATAGACAAATATAGATTTCCAGTTCCTCCTGAAAAATTAAAAGATCAAGCCTTTCTGGCACTTTCTCACAAAGCATCAACGGGGAGGAAATAATAGCAGCTTCCTGTTTAGACAGAGCCTATGCTCCCTAGTTTGCCATAGACTCCACTACTGGCTGTTGCCCATCAAACCCCCCTGCTTCGCTAATGACCAAAACCTGCCTGGCCTGTTTAGGCATTTGGGTTTGTGGTCTAGAGGAAGTTTGGGAGACTTTCTTAGCTCCTAAATCAGAGATCATTCCTCCGGCCCAATGCCTCCCCTCTCATTTGTTCCAGATCTCTCTCTCTCTCTCTCTCTCTCACACACACACACGACTCTAAACCCATAAGGGTGCAGTGGAACCCATAAGCCCAACTGCTGAGCCTGTGGACACAAGTGTCTCACTAGGGAGTATGGGGAAGTAAAACACTCCAGGGAAGGGGAGGGGAAGAGCATAAACATGGGTGTGGAGACATATTACATTCCAAGGTGGCTGCCTGTTTTACATTCCACCAGCAATGAAGAAGAGTTCCTATTTCTCCACATCCTCAACACTTGTTATTTTATGTCTTTTTGATTATCGCCATCCTAGTTGATATGAAGTAGTATCTCATTAGGATTTTGATTTGCATTTCCCTAATGACTAAAAACGTTGAACATCTTCATGTGTTTATTGGCTGTTTATATATCTTCTTTAAAGAAATGTCCATTAAGATTTTTTTGCCCATTTTAAATTGAGTTATCTTATTATTGGGTTGTAAGACTTGTTTATATACTCTGATTACAAGTCCCTCCTCAGATACATGATCCGCAAGTATCTTTCCCATTTTGTGAGTTGTCTTTTCACATTCTTGATGGTATCATTGCAGCACAACAGTTTTAATTTTCATGAAATACAATTTATCTAATTGTGGGAGGCGTGGTCACTTATGCCTTTGGTGTCGTATCTAAGAAACCATTGCCAAATCCAAGGTCATGAAGGTTTATACCTACCTTTTCTTCTAAGACTTCTATAGTTTAAGCTCTTAGATTTGGTCATTGATCTATTTTGACTTAATTTTTATATGTCATATGAGGCAGGGGTCCAAATTCATTCTTTTGCTTGTGGATATCCAGTTGTCCCATCACCATTTGTTGAAAAGACTACCCTTTCCCCATCTTATTATCTTGGCACCGTAGTTGAAAATGGCACCCTTGACTATGAACATGAGGGCTTATTTCTGGACTCTCAGTTCTATCCCATTGATCTATATGCCTATCCTTGTGCCACTACCACATTGTTTTAATTACTATAGTTTTGTAGTAACTTTTGAAATCAGGAAGTGTGTGTCCTGTGACTTTGTCCTCCTTCAAGACTGCTTTGGCTCTTTTGGGTCTCTTGACCCAGATGAATTTAAGATCAGCTTGTCGATTTCTAGGTCTAGCCATTTTTTGCCACGGGGGAACATGAAGCTTTTTTTAATAAGTCTTTGTATTTTAATTTGGATTTTTAAAAAATATGATATTTCCTGGTTTAAAAGAACAATTCAGGCCAAACAAAACAACTGCTGCAGGCTAAATCTCAATGCCACTAGTTTGCAACCCCAGCTCAAATCCCAAGTCCAAATTTACAAGTGGGGAACTGAGACCCAGAGAGAGAAGGTAAGTCTCTCAAGGTCATACAGCAAGTAAGGTGTGCAGATGGGGCTCAGACCGAGAAGCTGGGTTTCAAGACCAGAGCTTCGGGCATCCTCCTCTCTTAGTTCCTCTCCAAGCAATATCTCTGGAAGCACACACCACACCCAGCACATGTGCCCAGTGATGTCTTAGGCCAGAAACACTCCTCCATCCCTTCCCGCCCAGAGATGCTGGGCTCCCGAGATGCTGGGGGCTCCCTTGGTCTCAAGGCTGAGGTTCAAATCCTGGTGTGGCCAATGATCCCAAAACATTCAGACACCATCATAATTTTCACCAGCTCGTGGCCTGGAAAGACAGGGTTCCCCTCTCCAACTCTCTTGCAACCTGGGGAGTAGACTCTAGGCAGAAGAATGAATTGCCCTCCTCTCCCCACCACTCTTTGGGTTTCCACAATGCCATTTTAGGAAAGAAAGAAAGAAAAAAAATCAAACAGAAAGCAATCAGCAGTAGCCAGTAAACTTGTAGTCTCCAGAAAGTAATTTGGAGAGGTAGAGTGGAGAAAAAAATTTGTCAGATGGAGAGCCAGGCATGTCA